GAGTTACGGGTCACGTGGGATTAGATGGTGGGGGTGAGGTGGGGGTAGGGATTCCAGAGTTCTGGGGCCACACAGCAGTGGGTCACAGTGTGATGGGAGTAGGCAGGGTCAGGGAATCACAGGGGCATGTGGGGGTATGGCTCACACAGGGCTGTGGGTCACGTGCAACCACCTCACCCCCACCACCTAATCCCACATGACCCGTAACTCCATGACACCCCATGTGATTTTACCATCCTTTCTGACTGCATCCCAAGGTCTGCATCCTCTGATCTTTTCTATTGCCCATTTTCCCTTCCCCATCTCCCCCAGTGACCAGCACTTGTAATAAACTGGACGGGCTGACATCTACCCTTTGTGTATGAATCTTGCTGTCAGGTGAGCATAGACTAGAACCTGCTCTCGCTCTCATAATAGGAGCGAGATGGTGCCATCACCTTGAAGAGGGATGATGGGTACTCTTCCAAGACCCCCTGGCTCTGACAGATGGGGTGGCCACATTCCTCGGAGCCCTGGGTGTTGTCAGCAACTGCGAAACTGCGAGACCCCCCCGCGGGGTCTGATGTGTTAAGCTCCCTCCCTGCTCTAATGATTGATGTGTGATGTGCCCCCTTGGGGGGCGTAGACGAAGTAATTAGGCTATATAAGGTAGTGTATACGGGTAATAAACGCCATTTGCTGCTCATCATATTGGTGTCGCCTCAGTAATTGGCCAAGCTGCGGTCTCCCGGGAAATTCGGTACGGGCGTGAAAAGCAACAAGTGGTGACCCCGATCGACGTGATTCCTGGGAGTGAGTCAGCTGCCTGCCGGAAGCAGGATCCCACTGCGGTAGCGGTAAATTCAAATCCGCGGAGTAGTGGTAACCCGGGGACGGGGAGGAGTGCGCATTACTCCTCGTCAGGCGGGAGGCTCGGGAAAAGGAGCCAAGATTCCCCTAGGACGCTAGGGGGGAAACGCCAGAAGAGGCCAGGTGCATGTTCGGCCGGAGGCGTTATGGAAGCCGTCATAAAGGTGATTTTTCATGCATGCAAAATTTATTGCGGGAAAAATGTTCCTTCTAAGAAGGAGATATCAGCGACGCTTTTGTTGCTGGAGAAGGAGGGATTACTATCATCCCCTTCTGATTTATATGATCCTAATAATTGGGATTCGTTTACTGCTGCACTCTCACAGAGGGCAATGTTTAATCAGAAAGCAGCAGAGATTAAGGTGTGGGGGTTGATTTTAACAGCTCTTAAGAAAGCAAAAGAGGAGAAGATTGCAGGTGACCGTGCTAGGGAGCTGCTGGGGCTCGGGCCAGGGGGGGGTCTTGTCTCCCCTACAGATTCGCCAGAGGGCAAGATGGCGCTGACTCCTTCGGCCCCACCAGAAACAACGACCCTGGAGATAAAGAAGAACGAAGTGAAGCAGGAGCAATCATACCATAAAAGGGAGGACCCACCTCCGTACCCGGCTCGCAGCATATATCCTTCGCTTAAGCCCTGTAAAGATAACGGGGAAGGGGGGTCGGTGGAGGAAAGTGCTATAACTTCTAGTACAGCTGATAAGAGGGTCCTTGAGAAGGGAGAGATGTCTGGAGGGGCTGGGATACAACCTGTGGAATGCGACAGTGGGGGCGGGACTCACCTACTGCCCGATTCTGCCTGCTACGGTGGCCACCCCCCGAGGGGCGTGGATTGTCCCCGGCCTTGCTGTGGGGGGAGCGTTCCGACGGGGATGGCCCTGGAGTCCACCCAGGAGGGGCGTGGTCCCATATCGACAGCTTCATGGGGCCTGCCTACCCTCACTGATTGGGCTCGAGTGAGGGAGGATATACAGGCCGCAGATCCAGCAGGTGTCGCTCTCACTTTGCCGGTGGTGATAAGACCAGAGGGTCCAGCTTGGGTTCCTCTGGAGTCCAAAGCGGTTACTCGTCTTTCGGAATTAGTTAAGAGCAAAGGCCTGCGTTCCCCTGTTACTATGGCAGCAGTGGAAGCTCTTATGGCTTCTAGTCTTTTGCCATATGATGCGGTGAACCTTATGCATGTTATTCTTGAGCCCGTACAATACACCTAGAAGAGCAAAAAGAGATGTTTCTGGTATTCTGGGAACAGGTTTAGGAGTCTTAAACAGTATAGACACTGAAATACTCATGAGTAAATTGAATGCCATTACAAGTAATATACATGAATTGCAACATCCTCTACAGTCGTCCCTATCAGGTTTAGGAACAAGCCAATGGCTTTTATCAGATGTGTTACCGCAATGGGAAAAGATAAATAGGAAAGATCATCTGTTGATTATGGATGCGCTTTCAGCAGTCCAAGGTAATACTTCTTTAGCCCTCAGTTGCATTCAGGCCCAGATGTGGATGCAATTTATAGCAGCGACAATCGTGAGAGAAGGTGAGGATGGCACTATACCCACTGAAATTAGAAAAGTAATTTGGGACAATGCAAATAGGTTTGAAAGAAAATTTCAATCATGGTGGCATTTAGTTAACTTCACTTATGACCCTGTCACCAATTATGCCGTGGCTTTTGTTTTGATGATAAGTAATGCTTCAGTATACACGATATATCCAATCGTAGCCCTAGGATTAAATCATGGTGAGACTACTCTGTATCCAATTGAACATCGGATATGGGCTCTTCAAAAGAATAAGAAATGGCAAACTGTGGACGTTAGTTCATGTGCCATGCGAGAACAACAAGGATTTATTTGTGAAAGTAATACATTTGAGACCCAAGATATCTGTTTTGACACTGAACAAAATATCTGCCACTTTGAGGTCCAGCCTGGTAGGATGTTCGAATCAATGCTTGTATATATTGGAAAAGGATGTGCTTGCATCAGAACTCATTGCGACTCCATACAAATAGGGAATATGATTGTTGATACTGCCAATCACTCAAATCTTTGTGTTTGCAATTTTATCAATATTTTAGGATGTGATTTTAACTATACAGTTCCTGTTACTTCATATCAGCTTTTGCAGTTCAATTACACCCTGATCAAAGATTTGCGTCCAGCGCTGATTGGAATGAATCTCGCATTGGTAAAGGAGCTTCTACAACATGACGATCTGCATCGACTATTAGAACGCATCAAAGACAACGGACAAAAGACCTTGATTACTGTTCATCATGACGTGAAAAAGATACATCGCGTCTTGGAAAGAGTAATGAAAGCTGGAGAACATCACTGGTGGGAGGTTCTTTTCGGTTGGTCTCCCACAGCTACGGGAATATTTAACTCTGTACTACATCCGGTAGTTGTTATATTAGGTTTAATAGTATTATGCTTGGTTCTTATAGTTATATTATATATAAAGACATGGCGCTTGCTAAAGCAAGTGTCCCAGCTTGATTTAGCATTAAATAGGGATACACTGCATCATTTTTTGTAAGACTTATTTTAAGGCTGATAGACGGTTATAACGTTAAGGTAGAACTTATATAAGATATTAAGATTTTAGGATTGTTAAGATAATAGGTTGTCATTAAGTTATAAGGTTATAAGTATATAAGTTATAAAGTTATAAGTATATAGGTCATTAAATTATAAAGTTATAAGGTTATAAGTATATAAGGTTATAAGTTATAAGGTTATATAGGGTTATAAGTTATATAGTGTTATATAAGTTATAGGGTTATTAGGATAGGATATTTTGCGAATCGGGTTGTAACGGGGCAAGGCTTAACCGAGAGGACAATGGCATGTATAGGCGCAATGCGGGGATTTCGGGGTGTACGCGGTTAGGGTCCTCTCGAGTTGTAGTATGCTTTCTTGAGCATGGAGAGGGGGAGATGTTGTCAGCAACTGCGAAACTGCGAGACCCCCCCGCGGGGTCTGATGTGTTAAGCTCCCTCCCTGCTCTAATGATTGATGTGTGATGTGCCCCCTTGGGGGGCGTAGACGAAGTAATTAGGCTATATAAGGTAGTGTATACGGGTAATAAACGCCATTTGCTGCTCATCATATTGGTGTCGCCTCAGTAATTGGCCAAGCTGCGGTCTCCCGGGAAATTCGGTACGGGCGTGAAAAGCAACACCTGGGACCCTGAGATCCTCATTTTCCAATGTGGTGCTCTCTTCCAGTGACACACAGAGCCCATGATTTTGCTGCATGTGAAAGGTATAGTTAAGTGTGAGGCCAGAGAGGAGACTTTTTCCTTCCAACTTGCTCTCCTTTACATTCCTGGTGGGAACAGAAGGGGTTTTTGGGAGGTGCTGGGAGCAAGACACTGCAGCTGGGTAACTTGTAGGGAAAGGATAAAGAGAAGCAGAGAAATGGATGCCTGCTCTCAGCGTTCTGACCTTAAACCTCCCCCAAGGTATGCATCTGGGAGAAGAACTGCTTTTTTTTTTTTGTGAAAAGTTTCTCTTGTACAGCAACTCATTGGCTTTTGGACCACAGGGAAAGAGATGGAAGAAAATACAAGAAAGGTCTTGTACCAGGTCAGGCGTAGATTATCCTGATATTACAAGCAGAATAGGAGGGAATATCACAACTGTTTCTAAAAAGCTATTATCACATCGGCCACCCCAGTTGCTGAGTTACTGTGACTTGTAGAGGAATTCCCAAGTCACAGCCCGAACCAATACGTGAGCACGAGTGCCTGGTGCAAGAGGAGACAAGGCTGCATTCCTCAGCGCTTTCCTGGCGGCACGGATGCGGCCCGTGCTCGCCGCTCTCCAGGAAGGCCCGCACGGGGCGGCGCGGCGCGGGCTCGGCCTTGCCGCGGTCCCCCGCGTCCCCGCCCTCTTCCTCCCGGGGCCCGGCCGCCCCGGAAGCGGAGCGGGCGCGCGGCGACAGGCATCGGCGCTGGCAGCCGGGCCGGGGCCATCTGGGACGCGCGCGGTGATGACGCAACGACGGTGCGACCAATGGCGCGCGGAGGAGGCGGGGCCGAGCGCTGGCTCTCCGCCAATAGCGGCCGCGGGGCCGCCGCGATAGCGTTGGCGGAGCCGTGGGGCTCCGTGCGGGCAAAGCGGCGCTGCGCCGCCGCCCCGCGTCCCCGCCGCTGCCGCCTGCCCCGTGCCTTTGGGACGCCGGGCTCTCAGGGGAAGGCGGCGCGGGGGCCTGTCCGTCCCCCCTCTGCACCGAGCCGTCCTCCACAGTCGCTGTTCGGACGGGAGCCGGTTGGGAACGCGGTCGTCTCTTTGTTTGTCGCTCTTTGCGTTCGTCGATTAAATGTTTACCGTTCGTTTCTCGGCGCTTCTGCCCGCGGTCGTTTCTGCAGCTCCGGTAAGTCACCCCGTTCCCGTGCCCACCGCCCGGTAAGGACGGGGCGGCGCAAACGGAAGAGATTAAGACTGGCTGCACAGCTTTGAAAACTGTGCTCTGCAGACCAGCTGCACAATAATGTCCTGCTGGCACGAATCCTGAACTTGTCTGCCCTCAGAAAGTCTTCCTGGATGTTCCTAGAAGGTTGCTGATATTCTTGGCACTCTTGGCCTAGCTGAATTTAATTGGAAAACTCCCACTAGCTTAGCAGGACTGTCTTCTTATTTTTCCATATGAAAGAACTGGATGCGTATTTTTCTTGCTCTCTTTTTTGGATTTTTCTAACAGTCTCAAAATCCTGTGAAGCACGGCTTCCTCACGGCTTTCACACCTGTTCAGTGACTCTGTGTATTCATGCGTTTATACATGAAATGAGTTTTATTTGTTTCTGCGATGTTGTTTTCACCTAACATATGTTTTAGTCTGGGAGTTAAATCTGAGTTGTTTATTTACTGCTGTGATAATGCTGAGGATCTGCATGAGGCACTGCAGCAGTTCAGTGCACGCTTACGCTCTCAAACCCCAGGGCCCCCATCCCAAGTAATAATGCAGGTAATCTGGGGCCTTCTTAAATTCCAGCAGCCTTTCAGAGGCTGGCTTACCCGCTCTGCACACCACTGTTTAGATATGCACACAAAAAAGCTGGGCATCTGCAAAGCTGAAAGCAAGTCTTTCAGTGCTTATTAATTTTGCTCCAGGCCTTTTACATTAGTAAAGTATTCAGAAGGAAGGGCCAAAATATAAACCTGCCACCACTTTCTCTAATGCATGCGAAGCTTCACCTCTCTAATTCCTTAGCAGTGTGTGCTGTGCAAATAAAAGCCCAGAGTCCAGAGGATGTGTAAGGAGCTCTGAGCTCTGCGCTCCCTGTGCACGTGCAGTCTGGCAAAATAAACTGGCATTCGCTGTTCAGAAGTGCAGTGTGCCTGAAGCGAAGTCCTTGAAATTCACTTCTATTCAGCGAAGGATTCTTCACTTATTTGAACAACTTGAAACATTTTAGAGTCGTGGAACACTTTTGAAAAAGGAAGGTCTTTAATATTAATATTCATGCCTATTTAGATTATCGATTTTCTATCCAAGCTCAGCTATTGATGGTTATGCCTGTGTAAGCCATAAAAATCAGGTCTTTACTGGATACATCCCATGCCAAATATTGTTGCTGCTTTGTTTTTATTTTCTATAGGTAGGATGCCGCTGCATTTACAGTGCAATCAAATGAGAATGTGACAGAGACTCTGTAAATGGTGGATTTTGCTTCTTTTCTAAATGGTGTGTAAAAAAAAAAAAAAAAAAATACTGTTTTTTGCTTTGTACAAAAATATTTGCTCCTTTGTACAAGAACACGGGTGTTTTCCATCCTCTAATTCATTAAATCTTGACCTGAAAGAATAAGTGGGTATACTATTGCAGCTGTAAATCTGTACTTTCTGAAAGTCTTTCACTAGGATAGCACTGCAAAAAAGGAAAAACAGGATGCCTAGATACTGATAATTTTTGAAGGTACAGTTTACTTATTTATTGCACTTAAGAAAAGCAAGAATGAGTGCTTTGGTGCAATGGACAGCAAGGAAGTGCTCACATGTGCTGTCGGTACACATACCTCTAATATCACTGCAGCTTTATCTGTCTTCCACATTTTAGTAGGTACCATCTTTTAAGGGGGGGAATACTGTTGAAAGCGATCATACTTTGGTGGTTTCTGGGCTCCTCTTGCTGCCCCCAGTTAGCCTGAATGAAGGATATGGAGTGGCAGCATTGCTGGGTGAATGCTGCCGTTACTGAGAGCAAAAGAGTGATTCTGTTTGTTGATGTACCTTTGGTCACTGAGCACCGTGAGAGCATTCTGAGTATTTATATTTGTAGTTCCAATGGCAAGTAGTCTAAAGACTGCTTGTGCACAAATGACTCAGAGCACATCAGTGCAATCTGCATTGTAACACATTACCTCTGATTTTAAGCCTGAAAGTTCCTTCCAGTATTAAGGCCCAGGAAACTCATTAGCCATCTGACCTGGGACAAATCTGCCTTTTGTTTCTCATTACAATCCTGTTTTTTCTTTGTGAAATTCCTTGGAACTGGTATTATCACACAAGCCAGACTTCTGCACAGTGTAAAATAAGGAATGTAATATATGAATATATATATACATATATGTAATATATTACACATATACACACACACACATATATATATATATATATTCATTTTCTGTTACCTTTAGAATACAAAGTTGTCTTTACCAATTTGGAAGAGATGTCTAGGAAAATGAGCTCCGTGTTGATTTCTTAAAAATTCAGAAGTAGAATTATTCTTCATTTGGCTCTGAGGGGCAATGATTCCAGGAATTGCTTTCCAGGACATATATTATTAATATTTTACCACTCCACATATCTTTCTGATAGGAATCTTTTATTGATTTTAGTAATTTCAAGTTTGTGGTGACAGCCCCTCATCAGCACAATTTCTCTGTGATGAATTTACTGTCAAGCCACGTTAATTGGTAGAATGTATGGCAGTCATTAGTTGTTGCAGGAGCTTTGAGTAAATTTTCTGGTAGGGCTCTCATTTAAACTAGGAGGGGTAGTGCAGAGAACAGGGTACAATTCCCTGCTCAGGAGTTTTGTTTTCTGTTACTTACAGTTTCATAATCAGCCTGAAGTGCATTGCCAAACACTTCATTCCAAGAGCTCATCTTAATTGCTGCATGGGATCTTACTACGTGTCCTTGTGATCCATCGGTGCCACAGAACAAATAAATTTCTGTTAGGTGCTGGCA